ATGATCTTGCGGTCTGTGAGTTCAAGCCCTGTGTCGGGCTCCATGCTGACAGCTCAGAGCCTGGAGCCTGCTTTGGGTTCTGTGTTTCCCTTTCTCTCTGCCCCTCCCCTACTCATGCTCTGTCTCTCTCTGTCTCAGAAATAAATAAACATTAAAAAAAAATTTTAATGGTTGAGATAGTAAATTTTATGTTATATGTATGCTACTACAATAAAACTCAGGGGAAAAAATGGTAAAGGTAGGAAACACAAAACCCAAGGGGAAAAATGTGTATGTTATAATAGCAGTACACATTGATATAAAAATAAGAGACTTGGAGATTGTGTTTTTCATCTTGTCATCTAATTTACTTTGTATAATAATCATAGTTATTTAGGAGTCCATGTATCTGGTTCCTTTTTGAATGGTTTATACAGAAGACCGTCATGGAGAACATGAGAATTGGTGGAAAGTTGAAGGAAAGTGAAAATGAGCAGTAGTTATTTTCTAAGTAGGACTCTTGATCACCTAAGACAGAGTAATGTTTTTAAAAGTCATGAAGTAGAATTAAAGTTTACAGTTTGGTTGGGCATTTGCTGAAGTACTTTGCCAACAGTGGTGTATATACTTTATCATATAAAGCCCAACATATATAATGGAGAAGCAGAGGGAATAAAAAGAAATCTTAAGTAGAGATTAGATAGAGTCAGGCTTGATTTGTAAAGGTAAATGTTGAAACAATGGGGAAAATGGATACCATGAGGAAGTGACCAGAGAGAGGCCAGGAATGTAAGCTTTTCATTCATCAAAAAGAGAAGCAATAAAAAGGAGAACATATCAGATCTAACCAGAATCTCTTTTGGAACACAGATATTATCTTCTCTCTCTTAACCACTCAAAATTATCTGAACTTAGAAGCCAAAAAAAAAAAAAGATTTTCTAATGTATTCAACTGGCCTTCAGTCTTTTCCTGTCTGTACTCAGGAAAATCCTGACCTAAGGCATGCCCTGGTACTTGAAGGTCTACCTCATCATCATCCAGGGAGGGAGACAAAGAAAGCTAAACTTTGAGCTCTAGCTAGATTCTGTGTTCTCAGGAGAATGTTGAGTTTCCTTCACCTTCTGTCAAAAGAGTTAAAACACATGAAAGCCCCTCTTCAAAGACTTTATCTGTTTAAAATTAGTTATAGGTTGTAAGGAGAATCTTTCTGAGTTGGAAGAAAGTTGATACTATTATCTACAGGGATGAACACTGTCAAAAAATAGACTGTTGGTACAGGGTCTAATGTGTCTATTTTAGGGGTCTCATCTTTTGAAATCATGGTCACAACACCAGACTGCATCAGGATTCACACATTTATATTAAACAAAGCAGAAGAGTCACTAATAGCTGTTTCCTAAGAAGTCACACTCCGAAGAATTAATGACTTAAACTTAATTATTTTCATGACATCATCCCCCAGAAAGACTCCCCCCACCCCTTCAGGATATTTCGTTTCCTAACAGCTCATGAGACATAATCTCCCCTGACATAGAAGTTACATCTGATCTGGTGATTTGTTTCTGCAGATGGTAGAGAGGAACAAATAGTTAGATGGGCTTAATGACCCATCAGCCCAAGTTTATGTGCCCAGAGGACTCTGAAGGCTAAGCTCAGGGATCCTGGGACATGCTTAGACTTAGGGATGTTTTCACTCATTATAAAGATTTTCTCCATGTGACAGGATGGACTTAGGACCTGGAGGCTTGAAGGGGCTCCAATCACCATATGTAAGCACCTAGGCTTATGCTGTGGTATTGGTTCAAGTGAGGGCTGACAGAGGAAATATTAGAAAGGTAAGGCTACATAGACAGGGGAGATGAGACACGATAGTGAGGAAGAGAAGAGGTAAATGAGGATAGAAGGGGACAATAGTCTCTTCTCTGCTCAGGAGTTACCCAAACCCCATTATCCATTCTCTTCACAAAAGAACACAACAGAGCACATGGGACTGGAACAGACATTCAGCAGGTGAGCACAGAGATATGCCAACAGGCAATATGCAGAAATTGTCTCTCCTCTCTGTCTCCCTCTCTCTCTCTTCCACACATACGCGCGTGCGTGCACACACACACAACACACACACACACATACACACACCTCACATAGTATACTCCTCACCGCTAGAAAGCCACAAATAGTTTTCAGTAGCATAACCACATATCTTGTCTCTAAAGAAGATTGCTTTGACTAGCAAATTGTTGGCAGGGAAGCAGACCCAGCAACTAGGCTTGCTGTGATTCATCTGAGGCAGAAGAAGGCTACTGCAGGCCACTGTCATATGTTTGAGGCTAGATGTAGAAGTGTGACTGATGTCATATCCAAATAAAATGATGTAGGTATTATACATTTGGTCTGCCCTATAATCTTATTTGTTTTCTCCTGCATAATCCTGGTGTAGAGGTTCTCAATTCTACATTGCCCCCCTTCCCCCACCATGCACCTACTACTTTATGGAAATATATCCAAGCCTTTTTAATGGAGCCCAGTACATCTGCTAGTTTAGTCATATCCAATGTCCCCCTCTAGTTTTCTGTGTCATAGCCTATTCATGACAGTGCCTGAAAGAAGTTACTCTCATCAATTGGTTGATCCCACCCAGCTTGAGAAATCTGTAGAATGAGAGAGAACACAGTTTACTTTCCAACTGAACTGTATTAGTTTATGTGTGAATCCATAGAATTCTAGAAATAAATCTAAATGTGAAGCTCTACACTTCTCATTCACTTTGCAATATTCTGGGTCATCCCTCTTTCCCTGCCTCCTTCATCTTACCCTATAGTCACCATGAATTATTTGTAAGTAATAAAATCTTTATAATCAAGTTATTTGTGCTATTAGGTGACATTCTTAGCTATTTAGAATTAAAATAAAAATAAAATTTGGGGAAGGACTAATAGTTTAAATAAGTACCACTTATTGAATATATCCTAAGAGCTAGTCCTTTACATGCATTGGTCATATTTGTGCTTAAAATAAGTCACATGGATAGAATTTATTAACTCAATTTTACAGAAAAAAAAAACTGATGTAGAAGGTAAGGAATTTGTTCAAGGATTCCCATTAGTATGGCATAGCAAGATTTCAAGGCATGTTTGAATGAATTCAAAGTCTGTATAAATCATCTATAATATTCTACTATAAGAGTCAAAGGAAAAAGAGCCAGTGGGGTAAAAAAAAAAAAAAACAACACAACACAACTTCAATAAATTGAGAGTTGGTGGGCACTAAAAGGGAAAGATCTCTAACTATTATCAATTAAACTTTTAAAATCGACTCTGGGCTTTTTGTCCATGTGCACATCTAGAAAAGGATGAAATTACTACCTTGCCTTCCAGGAATAATCCTTGAGCTTATTGGCCCACACTATCTGCCACTATTTGTGGCACACAACTGCAGCAGAAATAAGGCAACTTTCTGACCAAAATTGTGAGAGGGTGGGTGTCCTACTGAATTTGAGGTATATTATCAAAAAGAGCTCCCTCTGCTTCTCCCCTGGAAAGCTCCCCCCTCAGCCAGTAAAGTATCATTGAAAAACAGCAGCCCTGAAGATGGGGCTGACTCTGGACTGTGAATCTCATGATGTGTCATCCTACTTACTTCCTCAGACTCTCCTAAGTCCCACCAGCCATTGCCCTCTGATTTCTCAGCCTTGCATACTCCCATGGCAAACATTGTTTTCTCCATATATATGAATAATTTTCTCTCTAGCTTCTTTGGAGACAAGAGATGTTCCTCTTTCTCAAGCATAGCAAGTGACTATCAATTCCCTTGCCTGGGTATTACTACTCAGCAATAACTAGCTGGCAAAGTTACATGCAATCACATACATAATAAGAATCAGCTTAATAACTAACTCTCTTTTTCTCTTTCTATCTCTCACACATACACACACATAAGCGCACACTTACACAAATCCTGATTCTATTCAACAGCTAAATTCTGAAAAACTTGGAACCATACACTCCTGTGGCAGTGTTGGGAATGTTAAAATGAATATCCCCCAGTTTTTGCCCTCAGGCAGCAGCATTTCTATTGGTAACAAATAGATAAATACATAAAAGAAGTCATGTTGTATTAGATGCAGCATAATTGTACAATATACTAGTGGCACAAAGTGTTAAAACAATTTCCTTTATTCATTTCAGGGATCAGGAAAGATTCATTAACAACACTTCAATTTTTGTGTCACTGAAATTTGTTACTTGTTTTATCTATTCATACCTGAAGCCAGGAACAACTTAAGGACAAGGTGTAATTTTCTATGTTCATTATATGTTGTAAGAAAGATGAACGTAGTTTAATTGATAAGCAAAAGGTAATTTATTGTAAGAACATTAGGGAATGGCAGAATAAACAGAGTCTGGAGGTGTGGGATAGGAAACTAAGGCATTCCATAAGATCAGGAATCATCAAAAACAACAACGGTCTCATAGGAGAGATAGATTGAGGGAAATTTAAAGAAAGACCATCTGATTGACCACCCTTAAGTTATGTGACTATATGAGATCCATTAGGTAAATCCCTACATTTATATTATATCAAAAGACAGCCAATGGTATAATTCGGTCTTTCTCATTTGGACTTTGGATTCTCTAACACCAGATCGCACTTTGAGAAGTACCGGGTATAGCAGTTTCCCAAAAATGAAAAAGGAGCTATTTGAAAAAAAAAATGGAAGAAAATATCAAGCAGATAAGCATACACTACTAGGTGAAAGACTATAAGTTCCTTCAAAGAACTCACATTATTACAAAAGTTAAAGGTACACATAATATCACCTACAATTCATCTCAGAACAATAACATGTATTGAGAGTTACTCAATTACCCTCTGGAAAGAGCAGAATCTCTAAAGTTTGCAATCAACCACTCCTGCTATTACCTCCAGCACACCAGTTAAGGTTCTCTTCATTTCCTATGACCTTGATAAAGAAAAGATCATATAGAGAGTGAGATACCTACGCCTCAACAGGAATTCAATGACACTTGCTGGGAGAATGACTTCCATCAATGACACCCACTTCCATCCCCCCTTGTTTCACCTGCTAGGAATCCCAGGACTGGAAACTGTACATATCTGGATTGCTTTCCCATTCTGCATTGTGTACCTGATTGCCCTTGTGGGGAACATCACCATTCTCTTTGTGATCAAGACTGAACACAGTCTCCACCAGCCCATGTTCTACTTCCTGGCCATGTTGTCTATGATCGATCTGGGTCTGTCCACGTCCACCATCCCCAAAATGCTGGGCATCTTCTGGTTCAACCAACAGGAGATCAGCTTTGGGGGCTGCCTTGCCCAGATGTTCTTTATCCACATGTTCACAGGAATGGAGACTGTTCTCCTGGTGGCCATGGCTTATGACCGCTTTGTTGCCATCTGCAACCCTCTCCAGTACACCATGATCCTCACCAATAGAACCGTCAGCATCCTAGCTTCTCTTGTTGTTGGAAGAAATTTAATTCTTGTGACTCCATTCGTGTTTCTCATTCTGAGGTTGCCCTTCTGTGGGCATCACATCATCCCTCATACGTACTGTGAGCACATGGTCTTGCCCGGTTGGCCTGTGCACCCATCAAGGTCAACATTATCTATGGGCTCATGGTGATTTCTAATATCATTGTGGATGTGATCCTGATTGCCTCCTCCTATGTGCTTATCCTTCGAGCTGTTTTCCGCCTTCCTTCTCAGGATGCCTGGCTAAAGGCTCTCAATACCTGTGGTTCTCATGTCTGTGTCATGCTGTGCTTTTACACGCCAGCTTTTTTTTCTTTCATGACACACCGTTTTGGCAGAAACATTCCCCGCTATATCCATATTCTTCTGGCTAATCTTTATGTGGTTGTCCCACCGGCCCTTAATCCAGTCATCTATGGAGTCAGGACCAAACACATCCGAGAGAGAGTTGTGAAGATATTTGTACAGAAATAATAGTTCTGTGTCAACATTTGGAAAATATATCCACATACCACCCACATTTTAATAATCTGAGCTCTGCTTCAAATTTCCTATTAGAGTAGATAGCAGTAGCCAGATTTTTATTTTTTATTGGAATTCATTTAGAGTTGACGGGTAACTTTGCTGTCTGCTCTACCCACCCACCCCATGTAACTGGACGAAGGGAAAGCACTGATGGAAAAGGAAGATGTCCTGGAGGCAGCAGTGGTTTGGGAGTAGAATGGCTGGTGGGAAAAGATGAGAACACTCCCCATTTTTCCATGTGTCTTCTCTTTAGGTACGTTTAGACCCTGAAGGAACACTGATTCAACAATCTCACTTTGTAGATGAGGAAAATAAGGTATAAGCCATGGCTTGGTGACAGTGTCTAAACTAGTGCATCTGTTCCACAGATTTATATTCTGTATATTAATCCTCAAGTTTTGTCTTCCTTCTCTAGAGTCATTACTCATTTTCATTTTAATGGTTCCCCTGCCTTGTTCTTACTGTCATTTTTGTTCCCTTTCTTCTTTCTAATCTAATTCTTCCCATTTCCCTCTCTTCCTCCTTCTCTCCCTCTTTTTCCTCCCCCCTCCCTCCTCCCTTCTCTCTTTCTCTTTTTATCTCTCTCTCTCTCTCTCTCTCTCTATCTCTTCTTCACTGTTTCTCCAATAAACCAAGTATCTGTGAATTGAAGAATATGGGAGAATACAGTTTAGACATTAAAGATATATGACATTATTTCCTCACTTACAGCAAAGTCATTTTAGATGTGAATAATTGTATGTGTTCTATGTCTAGTTCTAACTGAATTCTACCTAAAATTTTCCTTCTTTGCTACCCATTTACCTTCATATATACAAGATTCCAGAAAATTTGGAAAAGGAAATCAGCATCCTCCTATGGTTTAAGCACAAAATCAGTCTTGATAGCGAATTCAGAATAATCTCAGTATAATTTATTAATAATGCAGATTTCCAATAGGTAGTACCATTTTCCAAACTCCAGTTATAGGTGGAGAATGTAGTTTGCTATAAACTAGATGAAAGGATCACTGAACTTTAATTTGTGACTGACTAGGGCTCTTTTTAAAAAAAATCAGAAATCTTCATCATATCTTCTGTTTCAGAACCACATTCTCGTTTTGCATGATGGTAAGCAAAATACTCAAAAGCACACCAGAGTGGAATATCAGAAAATGAGGATAGATATAGCTAAGAGTACAAGCAAAGCAACAATACCTGTTGCAATTTCTGTAAATCTGGGCAATTTGGGTGAATCTGAGCAGCTCTTGGTCTGAAGTTTGATACTGGCAAAGCAAAATTCTTGGGTCCTATAGCACCTTGTGAAATACCCTTACTCCTGTGAGCATGAAAAAGTTTGCTTGTTTGTTTTTTTCAGCCTCTGTCTCTTAGTCCTAAAATCTAATGGACAAAATATTTTGAAGTTGGGAAGACATTAAAATTCACCTGATCTTTCCCATTTATTTTATATTTCTCCTTTATTTTACAAGTAAGAAAACCAAGGTCCAAATAAAGGCAGGAACTTGTGTGCATAAAGTGCATGCATATTTAGCAGCATTTTGATTATAACAAGAGTAGATAACTCATATAAATCATATAGATCACTCATACAAATCATATAAATCCACAAACTCTTAGCTCTTGTAAAACATTTAGGTTGAAAATATTTTATGTATGTACATGAGGCTCAACCATTGGTCCCATATGGAGATATCTAGGAAAGTGGGAGAGAGAGCGAGTATCCTAGGATTGGTGTTGGTGATGACAGAAAGGAGACTAGAGAAAGCCTAAGTACAGGAACAAGCAGAAGAGTAACAGAGTGAAACTGGTACAGTCCTCACCAGTGTGGTCCATCAGTGGTGAGTGGTAAAGATTGGCCAACTCCCTGGCCATCCATATCTATACCACATATAAACATACTAAAGACAGGGTTTATTCTGCAGTCAATGATATGAAGCAGTCTATGGCATGTATACAGACCGCTGGTTAAATCTATATGTGATATTGGTAAAATTCAATGTAAAAGTAATAGTGTACATAATGTGGAATGGGATTCATTATAATGCTGGTCCTGAGATGGACCATGAGCAAACTGCTTAGACCTGGTTGAGTCCCTGTCCTAGGCTCCCTTCCCAGGGTACCTCTGTGCTTTGGAGTAGCTTCCTCAAAATTTTCTAAGTTTGTTTCTGGTACATGGGACTGGTTGGGGACGGCACTGCTGTCTGACAGGGTGCCCTGAGCCTAGATCCGGCTGAGCACATCAGCCCAGTCCTCAATTCTCCTCTTTAGAGAACTCTGTGACTCTTTTTCTTGTACCCACCAGCTTGGAAAATCAGCCATTTGACTCTAGACGCTTTGTGACCCGTATCTATGGGGTTGTCCTGAGATCTCATGGCTAGGACCTGGGTTCAGTAGAGCGGCTTGGTGAGCAGATAAGATTTTCTGGACAGCGAAGTTTCTCTTTCATGGAATTCCAGAAGATGAAGCCATCACAATAGTGCTGACATGCTGATTGGAGGTGACCCTCACTCATCACTTCCTGCAGACATAGGAGGAGTTCAGGGCTCTGATTTAACCATTGGTCCTCTTCTGAACCTTGGGCTTGAGTTATGTGTTAGAGCTGTTCACTGACTCCCACCCATCTATGTTCAAACTTAGTGCTGCCTCCTAGCTACAACATCCAAGGGTGGCAGTGGGAGCAGCATCTATCCTCTATCTCACTGCCTCCTCTACCATAGCATTGGTACCCAGAATGATTATCCCAACCCTTCCATAGGCTCCATACTACTCACCAGGTGTTCCTCCAGAAATGGTTGCATTTACCACTCCAGTCTTTTGAGAACACTGTTCTGCAATGTCATTAGGTACTTTCAACCTATGTCCTATTTTATCTCCAATTGATATGCTGACATGCTTTCTTGAGCCAATGTTAAGTAATGTCAGATGAGGTAGGGGCATTCCTTGTATGAATGGGAAGGTTCTCACTCTACCCACATGCCTCACCTATACTCCAAGCTGGTGACACTGCATAAAAGGGAGCAATGCAACCAGAACTGAAAAAGATCACTTTCTAGATATACAGTGATTAGGGACTAAATATTTCAGGTGGCTAAAAGATGTGTTTTTCTAAATTAATGTTATAAAATTCAAAAAAATAAATTTAACACGAACAGAAAAAAACTATCATGCACATTTTCCTGAATGATCTGGTTAAGCCTGACATTTATGGTCATCACCAATGAAGGACAAGACAAACCTTTGAGAGATCATTAGAAGCTGCTATTCATAAGTAGTACAATGAGTGATGCAGCATCTTAAGTAATGGTGCAATTAGTATTAAATAATTAGAATTGGAAATGCCAGAAGCAAGACAATCTATATTGTTTTGAAGAGCCATGGCATTGTAAGTAATAACAGTGTTAGTACCTTACCTTTGTGGCAGGAGAAATTAAATGGTCAGAATTGGTCTGTTTGACAGTTTAAAAAACATGAATAGAAAGTTAATGTAAGGGAATAGAAAGAAGAAATTATCTGGAAACTATAAAGGATCTCCATGTGCAGTGATTGAACAACCAAGAATATATATATTTTCTACCCATTATCCTAAATCTTCATCAATAAATTATTATATATCACATATGTACATGAATTTTATAATAAATTTATAGTCAAATTGTTAATATATTCAGGAGCCTTACAAAAATATTTGTCCAGGCACTGCACACAGTGCAGGGCAAGTCCTGCACACATTTTTATATCTAGTCTTGGTTTGCCCAATTTCTAACTTCCTTTTGCACTCTTGTGATGGTTGTCAAAATAATAATGCGCTGGACCTGGAGCATGATCCCAATGTCTTGGGAATAATCTGTATGCAGTTTGACTATTGGTTTGTGGATGAAACTATATGTGTGTGTATGAATGTACACATGCTTATGTTTGTGTTAAATGTGGCATAAATTTACTAGAGTCTGTGATTATTAAATGCATTTCCACATAGGCTTAATATTAAATATTTATGACATAAGAAGAAAAAAATATACAAAAAATAAAAATAATTGAGGAAATGATGAAAAAAATACAATAACTTCCATGTTTAATGATATTTTATCAGATTAAATGTTTCAAGACAAAGCTGTTTTCTATAAACGTCCTCTGCCCTCCCAGTCACTCCTTCTTCTTGGGAATCCTTTATGCAACACCCAGTACTTTACAGAATATAGAAGCCAGTCTAGCTCATTGAATATCAGTACTGTTTATCTTCAATACTGTTATCCACCAAGACCTTAGAAGCAGACATAACTCAATCTCACATAAAGAAGTAAACGTTCATGAAATTTAAACCAGATACAATATCTTCTCAAATCTGTTTCAAAATTGACCTACTAAGTGGTTTTTCGATCCATAGATCATGATAATTTAGTCAGAGCCTTGATATTATCCTGCTTCAAAACAAAACCAAAAACACAAAAAAACACATAAAAGCTCAACCAACCAAACAAACAAACAAAAAAACCTTGTAAAAAATCCAGATGCCTGCAGACCCTTCCATTTTCCACATGCCAAGTTTTAAGAAAATTTCCAACAGTTTTCCCAAGTGGTTTCATGATTTTTACACCTGTACCAACAAATATGAGGGTTCCAAGCACTACATTCTCACCATTTGGTCTTTTTGGTCTTTTGAATTTTAGCTACTGTAGTGAGCGAAAATCAGTATGTCATTATAGCTTCAATTTCCATTTTTCCCATGGCAAATAATGTTGTTCATATGTTAGCAGAAACCATTTTTTCAATCTTTTGTGAAATGTGTTAGTCTTTTCCAAGAACTACAAAATAAACTACTTTGAGACATATTTCAGTGTAGTTCAAAAGTCTTTGAGAAAGTGGTGTCCAAATGAAAAATTGCTTGTGTTGAAAGTAAAATAAGACTAGTAAAATTACATATAGCATATGTAATATGAAATATCATATATT